CAGACTTTTTATGGAGAATCTTTACATCCACGATCCAATCTCTGCCTACTTTCTATCGAGGATTCGATTTCATCCCTGCCTTTCAGACCATATCTCATCCTTCTTTCGCTCTCTTTTCTCTTTTAGCTCTATAATTCTTTGATCTTTATCTTCAAAATCTTCAATTATGCTACTCATCTCAGTTTTCAACCCCTAGACTCGATTTTTCTTATCTTCTAATTCTTTCAGGCTGATTGTTTTCTCCTCTTCGAGTCTTTGAACTCTACGAGCCTCGACTTTGTATTGGTTTATCAATTCTTTCTTCCAGCTCTCCTACTTTTGCCTTTCCAACTTTTATCTTCTTGGACTAACTCTTATTTTCAACCTCAAGACTTTTAATTCATCGCTTAGCAGTTGCTAATTCTCTAGCCCGCTGTTTGTGGTTCTTTACTCGACCTAAATCCCTTTCTGGCTCGTTGCAGCTTTTGATAATCCTTTTTAGGTCTTCTAGGTCAGCTTCCACCACATCTTTTTTTTTTCTCATCATTACAAACTATTTGGCATAAAATTCAGCATCGAGAGTTAGCATGAAATTTTCCCTTTCCATGTCTTCTATTCTTTTCGCATCTTTAGCTTTCTTCATCTCGAACTTGCTTATTTGGATTTCCAAGTTTGAAGGGATTTTCTCGATTTGTTCCTCCATCGACATTGATCATTCTCCATATGCTAAATGGATTTTGTTATTTACCCTTTGAATTCTCTAGGCTTCATAGTCAGGTGTTAACATAACATCCGCTCCAACTACCTTAGTCCTGAAAGTTAACCTCCAGGAATCAACCACATCTTTGACTTTCTTCCTATAATTGACTTCTTTGTAATTGAATTCATCACCAGTTAGCCCATAAGTCACTAGAACGAATTATCGGGCACCGTATTATCTCAAGACTAACAAAGGAGCGTACTAGACTCCTCCCCACAGTCCCAGCAGTATAATCCAATCCAGATCTCTACACTTAAACAAAATTTGTATGTGCATCAACCACGGGGTTTACCATGCTATATTTTGACCCCGCAGATTCCTGAAGAAGTCGATCCACTGGTCTTTTTGTGATCTTTCAAAAAGTGATTATAGTTTACTTTTTCCTCTCTCCAGAAATAACTTCTAATCCAGACAGTAAGCAGCTCAGCACAACCCATAAAATGCACTCCTCCCATCCTTCTACAGATATTCAAAGATCGAAAAGTCTCTGCTAGAATTACAGGAATCAGATTCGTCTCTCTCTTTAATTTTTCAACCAAGTCAACTACAGCTAATTCGACAAGTCCCAAACACTTTGGAAAAATTACCAAACTATAGATCCCTAGAGCAAGCACAACTCTTCATACATTTTCATATACGTGTGCTTCGACTATCTTTTGTAGGTGGGACCACGATACCCTATCGCTTTCTCCTTTTCATTGGAAGCGGTCATTTACCCACTTGTCACTTGTGCACGAGATCTTTGCAAGCTTTGATTTAAACGATGACCCTTTTATTGACCGGGAATAGATCTTGTCCACTTTAACGCTCGGTAAATTCAGCAAAAAGTGTTATTCCTCAAGGATCGGAGTCATGTCTTCTCGATTGAAACTGAAGTAGCTATAGGCTAGATTCTAGAATTGTATCATGCTTGGAATGAGGATCGGGTCTATACTGACATACATCAGATGGAATATATCCCCATAAGTCTGTTGAAAAGCTTGATTCTTAGTAAAATTCCAACTTTCCAAAATCTTCTTCAATCCTTGAAGTTCATTTTGCTTTATGGATGCCGGTGTATAGTTAGACAGTTCTGACACATAGTTCTTGGCAGGCTATCTCCTCGCTCTTTCTGCTTTGTTTCGGACAAATTCCGAACATCTGCATGATTCTCTTATTTGTTTAAGAAACTTTTCTCCATCGTGAAAGTCTTTCCACTTTATCGATACTCACGGATCAATCGCCTTTTCTAATGTTATGTACATGCAGTATGAAAAAATAATAATAAAACAAACAAACAAAAACAATTAGTCAAAATATGTGTGTAAATTTAGCAAAAAGGAAAAACATATATATATATATAAGACGATAAATAAATTAAATTTATTTCCATGTTATCTACCCGAACATGCTTTCATTAAATAACAATCCTACCCAGACATGCTTTCTACCCAAAATGATTTATTTCAAGAAAATAATCCTAATTGCATACAATTTCTAGTTCACATGCTTTGTTCGAAAAGAATAAATATATTATACGAACTTAAAGCAAAAGAAAAAGGTTAAGAGTTAATCCTCATTTTTTACACTTATTTTGGCACCTACTGACGGATAGAGGTTTGGTATGACTATATCTAGGGTGACAGTTCTACGTAGAAAAAACATGCATGGTTTCGGCTCTAACGGAAAAGAGTACTCGAATTGTGCTTGTTGTTGGTGCCCCTTGGGCTACCAAACCCTCAATCCTAACCCATTACAGGCGTAAATGGATCGAGTTCAATTTGAGGGGATTCACTTCCTTATACCCGTACGAGGAATAAATCCCTACGAAGGTATAAGGCATATGTATCCCAGGGGTTATTTGCTAAAACTCATATGAAGAATAAATTCTTACGAGAGTAAAGCCTTCACCTCCACTTACTTGGAAATAAGCTCCGGTCTAGAGCTTATGTTATGCAAACGCTCGTGATGTGTGTGAGGAGAAACATAAAAACCTTTGACAAAAAATAGAAAAGAACAAAAAAAATCTCAATAAGAACTTTGATAGAGCTGAAAACCAAAAAATAAAATGTTAGTATATATATAAAAAAAATAATTTAGAAAATTTTCAATAAATGAATCATAAGTTAACCATAGACTCAAACTTATAATTTCCACCACTACGACAATGTGCAAACGACTTACAACCTGACTCTCTAAATTACCCAGTGGAGTCGTCAAGCTGTCATAACCATTTTTTTTAAAAACAATTAAGTTTAAAAAAACAATTATGACTTTATTTGAAAATTGGTGATTTGAATTAATTTGAATAGGAGTCGCCATCGACCTTTGGACTAGGTAAGTCGAATACCTAAAAACGTCTTTTAAAACAATTTCAAAGAAAAATCATTTTTAAGACAAAATTTGGTCCGTATTTACCAAAAATTCAACTTAACGGGTCCGAGAATCAATTGCGCATGGGGAAGGATAAGCACCCCCACAGCGGCCAAAATGGTACTTAGCCACTTATACAATGTCGTAATGGTGGAACTTAAAATTCGAATAAAAAGTAAAAATTATGATCTATTTATTGAATATTAATTAATTTACTTCGAATTGATTAATTATAGAAAATTCTTTAACTTGGCAAGAAATCTCGAGATTTGCAATCCTCCATAGGGAAAACTATCTCACCTATTTCTTATATGTTAAAGAATATTCTACCTTAAAATAAATTAATTAATATCGAAATTTTGCATAAAACCAAAATATGACTCATTTTTCTAAAGCATAAATCATTAATACCAACATTAAATATAACAAAATTAAAATAAAGTAGAACATTATATAAAAAAACATTATTTTAAAAAAACTTGTGTTTTCAAGTTCATATTCCGTTTGAACGTCGTATCGGATTACACTATTTCGATCAAGCAGTGCTTTCCATGCCCATTCTACAAATACATTTCTTGAAAATATTCAAATAACACATCGATAAATGGAGTAGTATAAAATAGGAATAAAAAGGAATAAATTGAATATATATATATATATAACTACACGTATACAAATAATAAAATAAAATAAAAACTATTTTTAATACTAATAACTAATAACATATATTTGATCTACATACATACATATATATGTATATATATATATATATATATATTCCTATATGAAATCATGCATTATAATACAAACTGATAATAGAACATAGGGTTACAAATTTGGCCTAAGTTGGTGGGCTACTGAGCAAATACATTGGGCTTCGGGTTGACTGAGTGTAATTGGGTCTGGGTTGAGTTGACCCATTTAGGTTCTTGTAATTTGGGTTTGGGCGAAGTTGTAATCCTAATAATAATAATAATAATAGTAATAATAGTGATAATAATTAAAATAATAATAATTAATAACGAACGATTAAAACCCGGATAAAAATGGATGTCTACATTGATTATTCTTGAACTTGGCTCGAAAATTAGGAGTTTAAAATTGTCAAGTTTGACTCAAACTCGAAATAAAAACTTAAAACTCGACTTGACTCTAAAGCTCGCGAGCTTAGAATTTTCAAGCTCCAATCGAAATAAAAAAATTGAAGGCGTTATTTTATTGAGTCTCCCGACTATTAATAGTTACAAAATAGTCCTTCGGCTATAAGGTGTTACTTTGTTGAGTCCACGACTATTAAAAACTACAAAATTATCATTAAACTATTTATATGTTTCAAACTCGTCCTTTTTCGTATAAAAAATTGAAGGTAATCTGAGTTGAACATTAACCTATTGACAAAGATATAATAAAATATCATAATCTCAAACGATTATCATATCTCAGTCAGCAGATTAGTGTCTAGCTTAGATAATCATTAATTTTTTAACGAAAAAAGATGAGTTTAGAATATAATGAATAATCAGGTGATTATTTTATATTTTTTAATAGTTAAGGGACTGAATAAAGTAATTCTCTATAATCGAGATAACATTTATAATTTTTAATAATTAAAATTTAATAAAATAATATTTTATAATTAAGAGACCATTTGTATATTTTACCTATCGATAAAATGGGACGGATTCTCCGAAGTACAAAAACAGGCTTCCTCTTTCAATGATCAACGGAGGTCAAAACCCTTGTAATTACATTGCCACCAACCAACAAAGAAAAAGACAAAAACACCCTTCTCAGCTCAATTCCAACAAACAAAAGATATCCATCTCAGCTCATAAATTCTTCAATGCTCTAAGGAACCCCCCCCCCCCTCCCCCCGATCGTGTCTCTTTCATTTGATTCTGTTCCTTCAATGGCCTCTCTCTCAGGCCTCTGCTCTTCTTTCCCTTCTTTGAAGCTTAAGCCTTGCCCGATCGCCGGACTCACTCCTTTGTTTCGCAAGGACACGCTCCCGTTCTCCACTCATTCCAACTCCTGCTCTAAACTCTCCGTCGCTCGTGAGGTGTCCGCCGATTTGTCTAAAACCGCCGACGTTGGAGTTTTGAAGAAGGCGAAACAAGGTGGACTCGAGAAAGATCCTAAAGCTCTGTGGAGGAGATACGTTGACTGGTTGTACCAACACAAGGAGCTCGGGTTGTACCTCGATGTAAGTAGGATCGGGTTCTCCGATGAGTTCGTTTCCGAAATGGAGCCCCGATTCCAATCCGCGTTTAAAGCCATGGAGGGATTGGAAAAAGGCGCCATCGCCAATCCCGATGAAGGGCGGATGGTGGGCCACTATTGGCTGAGGAACGCGAAACTCGCGCCGAGTTTGTTTCTGCAAGTACAGATCGACAACACTCTAGCGGCCGTCTGTAATTTCGCTGATGACGTCATCAGCGGTAAGGTTAGTTTTGCCAATTAGCTGGTAATCAGCGGATCAATTTAGCAATCAATTAGCTTAATCCATTTGAAAACTGCAGATTAAACCTCCCTCTTCGCCTGAGGGTCGTTTTACTCAGATACTGTCAGTTGGGATTGGAGGTTCTGCTCTGGGCCCGCAGTTTGTCGCGGAAGCATTAGCTCCTGATAATCCTCCTCTAAAGGTATGTTAATCGGAATTTACTCGGAGTAAAATGCCATTTTTTAATATATTTTTTTTTTACATATTATCGAATGGGTAAACTGCATTGATGATACTTTTTGTTTTTGATCAATCCTATTTTGGTTATCAATTTCAAAAAAATAATGTTTTGATTATGATCATTGGAAGTAAGCTTCCGTTATTTTGGTAACGTGTCATGTTAGTAAAAATAGTTAAATTTTATTTTAACTCTGAAATTTTAGATAAAATATTAATTTAACTCTAAATTTTATATAAAATATTAATTTAATACTTAAACTTTAGATAAATTATCAATTTAACACTTAAATTTTAGATAAAATATCAATTTGACCTCCACATCTAATCAAGTCTCCATCATTGACAGCTGCTTATAACAGTCGGTCATCGTCGGTTTTTGTCATCAATCACTATCGTCCCTTTCGTCCCTTGTTGTCAATGACCTTTGAATCCTTAAATTTGCAGTTCACCCATTTTTAACATTCTGAACTTGAATCCAATGTCTGTTTCACAGTAAAATACCTCGAACTCCACAAACCTATCTAAAACCCTTTAATTCCTTTAAAAATAAACAATGATAATAAATTTATCATTTATATTCTTTCGAAAATAAAGAAAACAAAAATGTAAATCTATAATATGTTTATATTATAATGATAATAATTTAATTTATATAAGTTTTGATAAATTATATATTACTTTCAATTTTTGTCTTTCTTTTATTTCCAATACTTCAGGTGTAATTTTTTGTTTTCATTAAGTTAAAATATAAATTTATATAAATTAGATTGTATATTATAATATGTATTAACCAGTAAATAAAATATTTTCTCAATCATTGAATTCAAGAACGAATGTAGAATTTTATACCAATGATGCGAACTTTTAGGAAGTTATATTAAAAATTTAAAGGGTGCAAATTTTTAAAAATTTAATAGGTGCGAAATATAATTATCAATAAAATAGAAAGAAAATAACTATGTTTAATTTTAGATGATACGATTTATAAAACTAGATTAGTGAATCTAAAAAAAACTTTATTTTGAAACAAACTGAACCCAAATTCATTCAAAACTTGAAACAATTGATTTTAATTTTTTTTATAGGAATTAGGCCCCGTTAAAAACCACTCTTCTTAATTATTGTGTTGTAGAATGCAATAATCATTGGAAGGGGGAAAAGGGTACCCATAATTTTATTACCAAACATAAGAAGTACAACCAAACCCAACCAAACAAAACAAAAACCTCCATCGCAACAACCCACCAACCCCAGTCTCACCAAAGCACAACCTCATCCCTATTCTTGATTTAGCTAAACAGTCAGCTTCCTCATTAATCATCTGTTGATATGCAACATAGTCTTCTGAATTTCTCTGATCAAATCAACGTAGAGAACCAGGCAAAGTTCCGGGTTGTTTATCCACTTCAAAGCAAGATATGATTCACTTTCTAAAATCAGAATCCCCTTATCCCTCCAAACTGAATCTAAAAACAAATCTAACCCTGCTTTGATGGCAAAAATCTCAGCAAGAATCGGAGGGCAAGGTCCTGTCGCTCTAGAGAAGAAAACCAACTTCTTATTATCAACATCCTTTAAGACTCCTCCAATACCATTTCTTCTCAAGTCATAAGTAACAGCCCCATCAACATTCATCTTAAAATCAACAATTGATTTTAATTGAGTTTATATGCTTTAGTTTTGATAACTATCAACTCATAGTAGTTTAATTTAAGCAACTATATATACAGGAATAAGTTAAAACTTATCACAAATGTAATGATCCAATGTAGTAAGTGAAAGAAAAATAAACTTGTAACACGATATATTAATAAGGACGATGCTGCCACACTCGACAAGCACAGACGAGCACTGTTAATGATGAGCACCATTAAATTAATTTATAAAACGTTAAATTATAAAGTACTAAACGTGTAATTATAAATTAGTTAAAAATTAAAATGTAATTTAATTAAAATATAATATTTATAAAACATTAGTTTTTAAGGTAAACTATATCATTGACCACCTAACTATTTACCCTTTTTACTTTAACCACCGATTTTCAATTTTGTTAACCGAGTCACCTAACTATTTAAATTTATTAATCAAGCCATCTGTCGTTAAATATTAATGGAGGAGATGATGTGGCAGTGAATAAAATTTGTATAATTACACATTTAGTTCTCATTACTTACACATTTTATTAATTTAATCCTAACTTTTATTTAATTCAATAAATTTAATTCTCAATCCGATGGTGACATGTGTCACTGTGTGATTGGATGTTTTGTAATATTTTTATTTAATAAATTTTCCATCTAATCAAATGGTGTCACGTGTCACCAGTTAAATCAATAACCGCTGGTGGTGGAGTTTGAACCTGGGATGCAAGACAAAAATCTAAGCACTTTAACCACTAAGCTAGACCATTAAATTTATCTAGTATATAGAATATAATCGATATAATTTATAATATAGTTAATGGTAATAAATGACCTTATAAGGACTCAAACATAAAATAATTGAATAGTATGAAAATATAAAATATATATAAACAAATATTATTATTGATTAATAAATGAATATGTTTTATTTATATTTTAAATCACATTTAATGCAAAAATTAAAATAAAAGTGAATTTAATATGTTATAATTGAAATGTATCATTTTACATATTTTAAATTAATAAATTGTCTTCATTATTTTAATTTTATTGAACTGAAATGTATAATATCTTATATTTTGAAATATTATAACGCCGATCGGATTCTAATTTTATTTAACAATTCTATATTAAAATAGACTAATTCAATAAAATCAAGTTTCCCTAAAATTTTCTTCAAATATATAATGAATAAATAATAAAATATAAAATTCTTACTCTAACGAGGATATAAACAAGTTAATGTATAAGTTAAAATGCTTACTATGATAAGCCCTCAACTATCAGGAAAATTCTAAGTCAACGAAACTCTTCGTTATATTTCAATTATAATATATTAAAATTATTTTTATTTTTATTTCATTAAAATGATTTAAAAAATAAATAAAATACATTCACATATAAATTAGTTATAATATTTGTGTATATATATATCATATTATCATATTATTCTATGTTCAAGTTCTTATTAGGTCATTTTCCCTTTTTTTATTGCATTTAACTATTTATATTATGTCTTGATAGGTTGTCATTTAAATGGTGCAGTCTAGTTGTTGGGGTGTTTGCTTTCTTTCCTCATGTCTATGGTTCAAACCCTAATTTATTCTCTATTCATTCAATTGGTGACACGTGACACTATTTGATTGGATGAAAAATTTATTAAATTAATTAAAAATATTAAGAAAAAACATTCAGTCACATAGTGACACATGTCACCATCCGATTGAGGATTAAATTTATTGAATTAATTAAAGTTAAGACCAAATTTATAGAACGTACAAGTAATGAGGACTAAATATGTAATTATACAAATTTTATTAACTGCCACGTCATCTCCTCGTTAATATTTAACTACAGGTGGCTTGATTGATAAGATTTAAAAAGTTAGGTGACCCGATTGACAAAATTGAAAAATCAGTGGTTAAAATAAAAGGGGTAAATAGTTAGGTGGTCAATGGTATAGTTTATCCTAAAAACTAATGTTTTATAAATATTGTATTTTAATTAAATTACATTTAGAATTTTAACTAATTTATAATTATACGTTTAATACTATATAATTTAATGTTTTATAAATTAATTTAATGGTGCTCATCGTTTACGGTGCTCATCCACACTCGACGAGCGTTGTAGAATTTTTCTATTGATAATACGTATGCTTGTATATTCACCAACAGGAAAAAAAAAATCAAAACCAACGTCTTACATACCGTCCATTTCACCTACATCGATCAAACACAAAACGAAGTTCTTTTTTTCTGTCTGAAAAGAAAATCAAGAGTCCTTTAAAGAATATTAAAAAATATAATATATATAATAATATCAATCCAACGTCAATTTTGATAAATTATATATTATAATTTTATCAAAATTAAAATATAAATTTATATAAATTAAAATATAAAAAAATATAATATAAAAACTATCAAAATCTATATAAATTAAATTATTATCATTATAATATAAACGTATTATAATATAAATTTAAATTTTTGGTGTCTTTACTTTTGAAAGAATATAATCATAAATTTATTATTATGTTTTATTTTTAAAGGAACTTGTAGGGTTCTAGACTAGGTTTGTGAAGTTCATTGCATTTTCCGGTGAAATAGACGTTAGATTCACGTTCAAGAGATAAAAAAGGAGTGAATTGGAAATTTTGGGGTAGACATTGGTGGTGACCAACAACGGTGATGAGTGACGGACGGTGGTGGGGACTTTGACTTTATTTAGGGGTTTAATTGATATTTTATCTAATGTTCAAAAGTTAAATTAATATTTTATCTTAAGTTTAGGGTCATATTAGAATTCTAACATTCAGGGGTCAAATTAAAATGTAACCATTTTGACTAATGTGTCACGTCATCAAACTAAGGGAGTTAACTGCTTGGTGACCAAAATAAGGTAAATTGAAACAATTGACCAGAACATAACTTTTCAAAATTGGTGAGCAAAATAAGACAGATCGAAAACAAAAAAGACCAACGTTGTAGTTTACCCTTATCCAATTACTTATATAGATACAAATTTAAAGTATTTTCAAACTAAATTCTGTATCTCATCTGTTTTAAGGAAATGACCTTCAAGGGTTTAGTCTGCTGACGGCAATTGAGTTCCTTAATAGCGTTCAATTATTTATTTGTTAAAACAATGCGCTAACTTCAGTTTTGAGTTTTTTTTATTAGTTTTATAACTGAATTATTTTAGGTGTTAACTTATATATTTATTTATAATTAAAACAGGCTGTTAGTAATCTGTTCTCTGAATTGGCAGATAAGATTCATTGATAATACAGACCCTGCTGGAATCGATCATCAGATTGCACAGCTTGGGCCAGAGCTAGCTTCTACCCTTGTAATTGTGATTTCAAAGGTCTGTTTCACGTTATCCATCTCTATATCATTTTTTTCTCGTATTATAACTATTATTTTTATTATTATTATCTGATAAAAAAATACGTATTCAGAGTGGAGGTACCCCTGAAACAAGAAATGGTCTGTTGGAAGTGCAGAAAGCCTTCCGTGAAGCTGGTCTGGATTTCGCAAAACAGGTTTGGATCTCAGTTTTTGAAAGCGCCAGTTGGATAATGAGCTTTTGACGAGTTTTCGTATTTAATGGACATTGTCATACAACTACCTCTGAATTTCTTTTTTCTTCATTGTTTAATGGGCTCGTTGAATTTTCCGAGTTAGTAGGTGGTAGATTAATTTTTAAACCATACTCCCAATGGTCTCTTGCATGGAGATCTCAATTGTACTTGATGAGAGTTTTGTGTTCTTGTCAGGTTTTCTTGTACTCTGGAAGCAGGTTTCCCTAATAATTTGATTCTCAAGTCTCATTTCTCAAATATGCTGCTTATGTATACTTTAATGCAGGGTGTTGCTATAACACAAGAAAATTCTTTGTTGGACAATACTGCGAGGATTGAGGGTTGGGTAGCCAGGTTCCCTATGTTTGATTGGGTTGGTGGCAGGACATCTGAAATGTCTGCAGTTGGTTTACTTCCTGCAGCACTTCAGGTATGTACTCCTTGGATTTAATATTCAATGTGGTCATCAGTTCACTTTTGTCAGTTCTTTCTAACTGAAAGTTGCTGCAGGGAATTGACATAAGAGAAATGCTTGTTGGTGCGTCCATGATGGATGAGGCCACTAGGAGCACAGTGGTAAGTTTCACACTGATTTCATAGTAGTTCTGTTAAAGTTTGAAGTGTGGAAATGATTGAATTGGGGACAGCTGAATCATGGTAATTGTTTCTTTTTTACTTTGTGCTTTGGGTTACTTGTCTTTATTCCCTTGATGTTTCCTATTGGGAAACCAAGAGTTTTGTTCTGATCATGGAAAAACTTGCTCCTCATCTTCTACCATGTTTTAGTTTCCTTTGGACTTTTATCTTGCTTGTATTCAAACCTGTTATTGCAGCTAAAGATATCCTGATTGACATACATATTTTTCCTCCTTCCCTTTAGCTTAGGAAAAATCCTGCAGCATTGCTTGCTTTATGTTGGTATTGGGCAACTGATGGGATCGGATCCAAGGTATTCAATAATTCTCAATTATGTTGTCGAAATGTTGGGAACCCATATTAATGGCTTCTCTTGTTTAATTTCTTCAGGATATGGTTGTCCTTCCTTACAAGGACAGCTTATTACTATTTAGCAGATATTTACAACAGTTAGTTATGGAATCACTTGGCAAGGAGTTTGATTTGGATGGTAACCAGGTATGTGACGCTGTTTATGATGACTTGTAACACTTTCCAGTTAGTCTCTCTAAAAACCCCCCATGGTGGTCATTTTACTAGATATATCATATGAGCTGATATGATGTGTGGAGGAAGAATGAGCAATGGTTGTGTGTGTGATTGAATCTTAGGGGTATTCATTTGGTGTTATATTCTGAGCCATTTTAATTGTTCATTTTTAATGACATCTTGCCATTTAAGCTTTTGACATAATCTTAGATTTTATAGGGTGGTTGCTATACTGAGGCCAAATATTAGTAACTGAGTGGGCCACTAGTTACATGGGAGAATTTTGTCTGTTTTTCATGTTTTCTGTAGAATATTTATTCATTGATAAACAAGTATGAGTTGCTTTCTTACATTATGGATTTGGTAAGAACACAACGTAATTCATCAGGTAAATCAAGGAATTTCTGTATATGGGAATAAAGGAAGCACAGATCAGCATGCGTAAGTATTCCTTAAACCTTTGACATTGATTTGATCTCAATTGATATGATAAATGACCAGGCTTAAACAACTTTTCATGTATCATCAATATATAGCTATATTCAACAACTGAGGGAAGGTGTGCATAATTTCTTTGTGACCTTTATTGAAGTGCTACGTGATAGACCCCCTGGTCATGATTGGGAGCTTGAACCAGGCGTTACATGTGGTGACTACCTCTTTGGAATGCTACAGGTTCGATAAGTGCCCATTTTTTGAAACGAAGGATTTTCGGAATATGATGACGGCTGGTCGGTAATATTTGCACTTTATAACGTTGCTTGTTCAGGGAACAAGATCAGCTCTGTATGCAAATGACCGAGAGTCCATCACTGTCACTGTCCAAGAGGTGACACCTAGATCCGTTGGGGCACTCATTGCACTCTATGAGCGAGCAGTTGGAATTTATTCCTCGCTTGTCAACATTAATGCTTATCATCAACCTGGTAAGTGCATACCCGATCTTCTATCTAAGAAATCCAACTCTTGGAGAAAAAAGAGTTGAATATTGTGTCAAATTTATTAATCCAAATGGTATTTCTTCTTTATTTTCATCTTAGGTGTGGAAGCCGGAAAAAAAGCTGCAAGTGAAGTATTAGCTCTACAAAAGCGGGTTTTAGCAGTACTGAATGAGACCAGGTATGTGATGGACCGAGAGGCGGCCAGGGGCAGTCATCCACTATGAAAATTTTAAATTCTCGTATATTTTAGATATTTTCTTTGTATTTTCTATTAATAATCTGTTTTTGTCCTCTAAAATTTTATAAGGTTATCCCTTCCGTAAAATGTTATAAGTTCGTTACCTAGCATAAAATCCTATTTGTCTCTGGGTACGATGCAACTTACTAGGTGGGGGACTTGATTTCATTGTATACGTCGGATATTATAGCTTCAGGGTCAGTGGCGGAACACAATGAGGACTAGTGGGGCCATGGCCCCCCAAAATTTGAAAAATCATAATTTATACTCTTAAAATTTTTCAAAAATTTTAATTTATCTCCCACAAAATTTTTAAAAATTCAAATTAAGCTTTAAATATTTTGAATGTTCTTAATTAAACCCCTCCCATAATTTTTAAAAAATCTCATTAACCCTCTCAAAATTTCAAAAATTTTAGTTAGACTCAACTTTTTTTTTCGAAAAATGTAAACTAAATTCTTTAATTTTTTTCAAAATTTTAATTTAAACCTGCAAACTTTTTAAAATTTTAAGTTGGCTTCCTCAAATTCTATCAACCAAGTTCTGCCACTGTGCAGGGTAGCAACATACTTAAAACAGTTTGCCAAGTTATGCATGAACTTGGACTAAGAAATCTTTGGTTAAGAGGTTGTTGATTAGGGTTTTTTTTTTTCACTTTGCAGCTGTAAAGAACCTGTTGAATATTTGACACTGGAAGAAGTGGCAAACCGTTGCCATGCACCTGAAGATGTATGTATGCATAATAAAATGAAAAGTACTTGTTAAAATGGCGAGTTAACGTTGTTTGTGTTTAATGGTTGTAGATTGAAATGATATACAAAATCATCGAGCACATGGCTGCCAATGAGCGAGCAGTAATTGCGGAAGCGGATTGTTGTTCACCTCATAGCTTCAAGGTTTTGCTTGGAGAATGCAATGCTGATCAATTATATGCTTGAGAGGATGAAATTTAAGATCCTACCTTTTTGTCCAACAAAATTACTTCACCATGAACCAGGTCAGGTGTTTCCTCCTGCACCAATGCTGTCGACTCTGAAATAATAAAACTTCACCTTTTGCTTGTTTGTCATGGGAAGAATAAAGAGTAAAATCGACTATTTTATTACACATGCATTGTTTGTGATTGCTACAAGGTTAAACCTATAAATTGAGTTGGGTTTCATTAGAATAATAATTTTTTTTATGACCATACAGCTCAGTTGGTATAGCACAAAGTTCTTAACCTTGAGGTCGTGGGATCGAATCCCATGGAGGGCATTTTATAATTTGGAGGTCTCCTACGGAAGCTGCTCTCAACCTAGTGTTGGGGGCAGTCTACTATCTTACCTCCCCCTACCCCATTACATATGGGAACAAGGGACAACCATTTTTTTATAAGGTAGTATCTTTGAAAGATTCAATCATTTGATAATGAAAGCCTAAATATTCTTACATACGTTATGCTCGAACCAGTAACATACAGGATAACAAACATTCCTTAACCACTAAGGTCGTAATAATTTGAATATACTTAATCACTTCTATAATTTTACATATGATTAGATATGATGCATTATCTAGCACTAATAACATGCATAGCCAATAAATAAATTTTAAACCTTATTTCATCTAATAAAAATATTTTTTTGTAACATAAAATTTTACAAACTTAAATGATATTGATAGAGTTTTAGTGTAATTGGTACTTTTAGGAGACTGATTAGAATTCATATCGACTGATAATAAAGAAGTTTAATTTTTTTTATAAATATGAATCGAATTTAAGGTAGTATCTATGTAAATACTCTTAATAACTTAATAATGAGTCCTCATGTGAGGGGTTAAATGTCAATTATATCATTTAATGAATAACTAGGTTTCAATGACACTAATTACCCAAATTAAAGCTCAATTAAACCATTTAAAAATTATTACCATCAATTATACAAAATAAGGCCACAATTAAGCCAATTAACAATTCAGTCTTATGTATTCGAAAGAAAAAAACAATTCAGTCTTAAATCCTTCAACAACAAAAAAAAACAAATCATTCTTAAAAAAACACCAATTATGCCAATTAAAGCTTCAATTAGTTCAATGCCGCATTTAATCAAAAATTAAAGCCTACTTTTATTCCTATTATAAATCAAAGGGTCAAAATAAATTACTAATTAAATTATGAGATCTAATTAATAACTGATCTAATGAGAAAGGGCTGATAATTAATCCAATTAAGCAATTCAAGACAAATTTTAGCCTAGAACAATTAACTAAGAACCAAATTAGAAGAAACAGAAATTAAAATGGAACAAATCGAATGAAGTGTAAATTTAGGGGGACCAAATAATAATTTACCAAATAAAGAAAACAAAATGAACCTGCGGAACGAGTCGGATCTCCCGCTGGTCCAGGCGCGGACACTTGAGCTGGTCGAGCCCGACCTGAAATCCAACTATAAATATTATTGAGTTTTTTATTTCTTTATTTTTCATTCTCTCTAAAAAAAATTACACCTCTTGTTTCTCTGATCATCGTTCAGTTGATGCCGTCATTCGTCGTTAGTTTCGGTCATTGTCACCATCGACGATGGCCCTTCGGGCTCAAAATTCATCCACAGATTCCACTTGACGTCCCACTTCTAAATTCGCCTCCTTTTTGCCCGAAAATAATATAAATTTTTTGAAATGACCAAAACTTGTTCGACTTCTCCATCGCCAATATCTCTCATTCGTCGTTGGATCATACACTACTTTGAGTATGTAGTTCCTCTCACTGTGGAAAGCCACACCGTCGTTCTGATCTTCAATAATATCCTTCGAACGTTAGAAAACATCAAAATACCAATGGAGTTTTCCCTAACGTTCTTCGCTGCTATTTTTTAGTTGTTGATGTGTAGTATGGGTCCAAAAAAACTCAATCTTTAATTATGCCATGCATCCTTACTTTTAAATTGACCTCAATCTTTAAACATATAAATCAATGTTAAATAAATATAAAAAAATTAAATAAGATAACATTAATTAAATAATTAGAATATGTAAATCGTTACACAAGTTCAAATTCAATGTTAGGGGCCAACATACTAAAAAAACAGGGATCAAAATAATTATTTAATCAATTTTAGAAGTATTTTTTGACATTATGCCAAAAAAATAAAGTATAATCTTTTTATGCATTTGAACATAGTATGTTTTCACTATATAGAATTATTATTTTTCACTGACCATATACTAAATAATAAACCTATCTCCATAATATTCAATTTGAATTAATTTTCAAAGGATCTCAAAAGTCTAGACAATTTAGATTATACATTATCATCTTGTCTATTAAACATAGGGAAAGGCAAACTAAAACCAAAAGCTCAAGGTATACAATAATACAAATATAACCAAACCAATAAGTAATGGCACATACATGAATGGTATTGTGAAACTTTCTGGCGAATGCCCCCCTGCTGGGGATTGATTTATTGACTACACAGCACAACATAGCTCCTAACAAAGTTGCCTCGATGACAAGTCTACAACAAACCCCATAGCGAAAACAGAACAGCAACATCGATCAGATCGAAAATTCCATAAGGAAACCATCATTTTGCATTAGCACAAGAAGTAGACATTTTGCAAAACATACACTTATTGTATACAGTGGTTTAGAACATACCTACTTAAGCTTAGGAGGAAGCGTGCCTGTCCTTTACAATCATAATAGGGCATTGTACGTTGTTGGCACAATAGTTGCTTACACTTCCCAAAAACATTCTGTTAACATACAACATAATGGGTTCATCCCGTTTAGCATCGTGATAGTATAAGAACAGAAGAGACGAGATTTTAAATATATATAATAGAAACATCTCATGAACATTATAGGAAGACATTTGATGCCACCATGACCTACATATATTTGTATTTTACTGCTCCTAGTAGATTGGAGACATCTTAGAGGAGAAACTTACTTTTCCTTCTACCCACGCCAACATTGCTTTATTGCATCATCAAATAATAGTGATTACAATAGAATCATCTCATGAACACAAATAGGATGGCACACTATTCCACCATGATCCTCGTATTTTAGTATATTGCTGCTCCTTGCAGCATATTAGAGATATCTCAGGGGAAAGACTCTCTTTTCCATCAAGACACATTAATATTATTTTATGGCATCATCAACATAATCGCGATTTTGAAAAAAAAAGTCATAGCTAGTAGATAGATGAAACTCATCGGGCATGGCAATGAATATTTACTCAGGTTAAAAACTTATGAGAACACATGCGACAATGATTCAAAAGACTTATATTAGAGTGCTCAACCATATCCAACAAATTAAACGGTTCGGTAATATGAATTTCAATTCACAGTTAAGTTGGAAGTTATTACAATTGATAAGCCTTTACAATTATAGCCTATATGCTACCTTGATCACCAAGGCTTCATTTAGTCCATTATTCTCATGCATGATCATCATTCAAAAGGTAAAACAACTTAATGAAAATGTGAAATTCTAAATGATATACGTAGGCAATAGGCAATTCGCATAAACTGGACAACAACCAATGTCCATAAACAACAAATCAATCAACATGTATAAAAGTATAATATAAACGGTCCATTCAGCAAAACTCGATCAATTTAGTTTCATGGAAAATTTCGTTGTAAAGAGGAAAATACCTTTTAATGGGGCCAAAAGCTCGGGAGCCCATCACAAGTAAATCAGCATGCACGTTTTCAACTACTTCACATATTTTTTCCTTTGGATCCCCGACCTCAACTTGAGTTTTCACGTTTGCCTGAGTTTGAAATAGTCTGAACTCGTAATCTTTTTCATCAGTTTGTTAAAAACTAAAATATAATCAAATTAAATAATTACTTAAGGTCAAATCTTAAAAGAATTTTTTGCATATATACATTGATTAACAAGAATCAAAAAACCGAACGAGTAAATAAATAACTCACCTTTTTTTCAGAGCAAATCTGCAGAGCATGGTTCAAAATCGCTTCAGTGATTCTCTTCTGGTGCGCCTCGATAGCCGCCGCGAAAGCAGGAACTTCTAGATTGGCTGAATTTCAAAAACAGAAATCAATTCGTACCTATCAGAAATAAGTTACTTGAATCTAAAAGGGATTTTTTTTATATATAAAAAAAGAGGCTTAACTGGGCCCGCCGAAGGGTATGGCGCCGGGATTGAGTCCAGCAGCAATGGACGGCGGAGATTGAACGTGAATAATAAGGAAGTGACCGGGCTGTTGGGTAGAACCGGGAGAAGAAGGTCGGAGCTTGATATTATCAAGCGCCCATCGTAAGGCGTCCATGCTCCCTTCGCTGCCATCAACGGATACGACGACGCATCCTAAGTTTCCAGACATGATTTTCAGCGCTTCGTTTGACTTTGCGATGCTTGTATAAGATGATTGATCCTTCTTTACTTCCTTGCTTCCTTAGCGGGATTGATCATTGAACTGAGTCGGTCCTGATAAAGGCTGATTTGCATGGCGAGTTGGGCAAGTTGTATTTGGCCCTTGGTGCGTTCCAACGGGCAAATTAAATAAAGAAAGGCGAACGCATGGTTTTTGGTACGAAACTTGTTGGCGTGATAGCCCAGCATACCGTTTCATGGATCAGATAGCTATTATCCAGCAAAATTTAAATGAATTGGACACTTTTATTTAAGGCTTAATATAAAAATAAATGTCCTATGATTCGAACTAGTTTCATGGATCTGCTAGCTTTTATCCAGCAAAATTTAAATGAATTGGACACTTTTATTTAAGGCTTAATACAAAAATAAATGTCCTATGATTCGAAAAATATTTTAGTGTCTAAATAAATTTTGGTTAAAAATAGGTGTTTAATGTTTTATCCGTTACGATTTTAGGTGTCTGGAAACCGCTGTTAAAAATCTCTGTTAAATGACATGTGTCACATTCTGGTAATTTTGAGAATTTTTATTTAAAAATATATTTTAAAAAACTAAAAATTTTCAAATTAAAGAAAACCCAAAACTTTAAAACTTTAATTTTAATCACATTGCCACCACCAGCCGCCACCAACGTCGTTAATCAGCTGAACACCCAACGATGTGTGACCGACCAACTACCCACAACCAAAACTCCCATACTTTTGCAACCGATCGAATACCCAAAAATGGTGTAAATGAAAGATTTTGTTTTAGGGTTTTGAAGGATTTATGTTTATGAATTTATAGATTTAGGGGGATTTGGTATTCGATCGGTTGTGAAAGTATAGGAGTTTTCACCATGGGTTTTTGGCCGATCACACGTCATTGGGTGTTCGATCGATTGACGACATTGATGGTGGTCGGCAATGGAAAAGGGATTAAAATAGAAGTTTTAAAAGTTTTTGGGTTTTTTTAAGATATGAAATTGTTTTAGTTTTTTTTAATATATATTTTTACATACGTCAGTTAACGAAGATTTTTAACGGTGGTTAATGCCCGGGAACCTAAAATAGTAACGGAGAAAATGTTAAATACATATTTTAGCAACAACAACAAAACTTTAAGCACTACAACATTTTTCGAAATATAATTTGAACACTTATTTTTATATTAAGCCTTTATTTAATTTTCTTGATAAATCTTGACATTCGTGATGCTTAAACTCAAATTTTTAAATAATAATAATAAATCTTTCAATCATTAAAATCTCTTGGTTCGTGAGTATTTTTATTTTTATCCGTAAAAAAATCTCTTACATCCTCTCAAATTTTGAAGTTAGTTAAATTAGTTTCTTTAAATTTCAATCTACTTATTGTTAGTTTTAAATTTAATTAATTAAAATTAAATAATTATATTTTTAATATGAGTTAATTGCATCATATGTCTCTAAGTTATGACCCTTACTTTAAATTGGTCATTAAAATTTTGAATATTTCAATTTCATCCCTAAACTATGACTTTCATTTTAGATTAGTCCTTAGAGTTTTGACTATTCTATTTTTATCCCTAAACTATGACCCTCATTTTAAACTTGTCCCCAAACTTTTAAATCTTCCAAATTCATCCAAATATGTAACTAGTTTCAACCAGAATTTAAACTAAATTTTATTTTTTAAAAGCATGTAATAATTTAAATTGGCCTAATAATTTTATTAACAATAGATGTGATTAATATGTACATATAGTTTGTGATGAAATTGAAATGTTCAAAAAGTTTTGGGACCAATTTAGAATGAAGGTCATACTTGGAGGTTGTAATTGAAATGTTTAAAAGTTTAAGGACTAATTTAGAATGAAAATTCATAATTTAAGGATGAAATTGTAATTTTTAAAAGCTTAGGGACTAACTTAGAATATGGATCATAATTTGAGGACATGTGATGCAATTAACTCTTTTAATATTTTTAATTTTAGGGTAAACTATACTTTTAGCTCCTAAACTATCAGTTTTGTTTTATTTTAGTATCTAAACTTTCATTTATTTCAAACACATACCTAATGTTTACTTTTTATTTCATTTTAGTAACCGCGGTTAATAATTTAACAAAACTATTGCATGTGGCATTTTTATGGGTAAATTACATCATTCATTACTTAATTATCTTCCACTCTTATTTTGGTCACTAAAGTTTAAAAATTTTCAATTTAACTACTCAACTCTCAAATTGATCATGTTTTAATCACTCTAATTTATTTTATTAATAATTTTTGTGACATGACATTTTTTATTATTTTATTAATATATAATTAAAATAAAAATAAATAAATTTGAAAGTTAAAGTGATTTAAATTAGGAGTAATTTGAAAGTTAAGTAATTAAATTAAAAAAATAAATTTTAGTGACCAAAATATGAGTGAGAAGGTTGTCGTGACGAATTCTAAAAAATTATTAGGTGATTTAAAAATCTCATATGATTAATTTGGGGTTCTCCTTTTAAAGAACACATATGGTTCGAGGAATCGCCATCAATATTTGATTACTGTGTGATTGAGTACCCAAAAATGTATTTTCATTTTAATAAAATTTAATTTAAAAATTATAAAAATAGCCTTAAAGAGACAATCAAATATTTATTTACTATGACCAAATTTGATATTGTACTCAACCAGATTAATCTCTACTATTTTAACTTCTGCACTAAGTTTAAAAGTTCTTAAAATGTCATAATATTTTATAAATTTGAATACTGAGCATAGTAATGAATAATGCACTAGGTAGTTTTCTATGAAAGAAATGTGGTGCACTAGCCACACTTAAGTACTAGGTCTTCATAGAACCAATCCTAGACATGCACTTTCATACTCATCACACCACTACTTCCCCATAAATCATTTATAGATTTTCTCTTTCTTAAGGCTTATTAAAGAATTATCCTTGACACTTTTACTCACAATAGTATATTAAGCATATATATTGTGGGCTCACTATTACCTTAGCCTTAGTAGTTTTTCACTACCTTAGTCTTTACTAGTAGTTTATCTCATTTCATAGTATTTTCACTAAGTTTAAAAGACTAACTTAAAGGTTTATTTAAACTAATTCATGTATCATTCTAAGCATAAATTAATACGGAACAAGTCTAAATAATTTGACCTCACATGTAGAATTATAACTCCCAAACAAACTTGTTCATTCTCACTATAATTGAAACTTCAATCTTTGCATCATCATCTTTAATCAAAATGACGCCAAAATCTATCGTGACAATCACTTCATCTGAATCATCTATTTCGATTCTTCTAAATTCAAATGAAGATTACACATGGTTAGTCACAAAAATAATTTACTAACAGTAATTAAAATAATTTATTGATAGTTCCAAGATCCTTATCTTTAGGATTTTGCTTCCTTATCTTTAAGAGATTGTGAAAATCAAACCCAAATTTAATAATCACTTCTTACCATCTTAATAAGTTGGTTTTCACCTTTTGGTTTATAGAGAATAAATTTCTCTATATCTTCATTTTTGCTCTTTAGCAAGTATATAGCAGTAATTTTTGCTATCAATAATGAAGGTAGTAAAATATTTATCCAACCCCATTTGTTCCATCATTACGAATTTAAGAACTTGGCCACTACACTTTCCTTGATGCCAATATCTTCCGTTTCATATTGATAGCCTAACATCATCCATAATTCTTTAGCCATTTAAACATTATACACTTCATAACGTGTATCAAATAAGGTTTTGATAATGTGATTACATCATAGTTCAAGACCTCAATCGAAATTCATGTTTCTAGATTCTGTTGAACGGAATCAATAGCCAATGTTACTTATAGTAACAAGTTATGTTAAACAAATGTGTCCATAAAAAATTGAATAAACCATGTTTATTCATATTACTTATTGTTTGGAAAAAGTAGATCAAGTAACTCATTAAACCGACAAAAATTAAATTCCCAAAAATAAATTTAATTACAAGATCTCACTTTACAAACATATCGAGATTTTCAAGAAATAAATTTAACGATTTATTTCTTTCTTTCAAAAATAGAATCATATTTTATTCCCAAGAAAATACCCAACAATTTATTTTCTTTTACAAAACAGGAAATTAAACCCAATGATTTATTTCCTTTTACAAAAATTGGAAAATAAATCCAACGATTTATTTCTTTTTACAAACCATAATCATATAAGATTCTTAGGAAAATAAATTCAACGATTTATTTTCTTTTACAAGATAGGAAAATAAATTCAACAATTTATTTTCTTTTACAAGATAGGAAAATAAATCCAATGATTTATTTCATTTTTTAATAGAATCCTTCAAGATTCATAAGAAAATAAATCCAACAATTTATTTACTTTTACAAAATATAATCATTTAAGATTCTCAAGGAAATAAATTCAGCAATTTATTTTCCTAACAAAGTTAGAATCATTTAAGATTATCAAGAAAATAAATTCAACAATTTATTTGATTTACAAAGTTGGAATCATTTAAGATTCTCAAGGAAATAAATTCAACAATTTATTTCTCTTACAAATTTAGAATCATTTAAGATTCTCAAGAAAATAAATTTAACAATTTATTTTCCTTACAAAGTTAGAATCATTCAAGATTCTCAAGAAAATAAATTCAACGATTTATTTCTTTTTCCAAAAAAGAATCATATAAGATTCTTAGGAAAATAAATTCAATGATTTATTTTCTTTTTTTTAATAGAATCCTTCAAGATTCATAAAAAAATAAATTCAACAATTTATTTCTTTACAAAGTTAGAATCATTTAAGATTCTCAAGGAAATAAATTAAACAATTTATTTCTCTTACAAATTTAGAATCATTTAAGATTATCAAGGAAATAAATTTAAAATTTAGTTTCCTTACAAATTTAGAATCATTCAAGATTCTCAAGGAAATAAATTCAATGATTTATTCTCCCCCTTCTTTTTAAGGTTATATCATTTGTTAAACGATGCTATTAATAACACTAAAACCCAAAACATATATATCACGACAATCTAATTCTATTTAAGAA